CTTCGCCAAGCTGGTACCACAATGAGCCTGGGTACAAGTTCCTGGGGACCCCCTCCACCACTCCAGGAGGCTTTCGTGGCTATGGCTCTCCTCTCTGATGAATTCTTCAGTGCAGAGGGGGCGCAGCGGCGTTGATGCCTTTGAAGAGTTGTACCCGGCTGACTTCCGGATTATCCTTGCATCTAGTCTGCAGATCCGCATCATCGTTAATGCGAGGCACTCCAAATCATCTGTTGCACAGCCGCATGGTAACCTGTCCAAGTCTCTGGGCGAAGAGAAGGACTTCAATTCCACCACACTTCGTGCTTTCTCGGTTTTGGAAGGAGAGTTTAAGGAGAGATTCACACAATTTCTTGAAGAAAACTTTTTGGGTCGCTGGAAGTGCTTGTTGCATCGCGCTGGAGGTAGTCGTACACCGACTTGGCATCTGTAACGTACACCCTCTTGCGACGCTCAATCACTTGAGTCCAGTTTCGCAGGTCCACTTCTCCAGTCAAAGCCTCCTCCAACAGGACGATGATCCAATCCCCTGATTCTGCTAGGTGGCTGGCCTCGGCCGCCCGTGTTAACCGGCACAACGCCGGGATGTTGGCTCGGACCTCCTGGCCATCCAAGATCTGCGGGTTGGCGACCATGATGAAGTAGCCACCAGCGCTCTTGCACCGCATCTCTTCCTTGTAGCGCGGGTACCGTTGGCGTGGCCTGAATCGGCCAAGTGTACCACCACTGCTTCGCGAAGATCAACGTCTGACCAGAACCTCAAACGGAAGTCAGCTCCACGCCGGGCCAGTCCAGCGTATTGCTTCAATCTCAAGAGATCCGCAACACAGACATCGGCCTTGCACCTTTGGATGACTCCCTGCTCGTAGGCCAGCCACCCGAGTTCACCCGGAACGCCTGGAAGAGCAAGGAGGCGTGCGAGGTCCTGAGCCTTCAGGTGAGAGCCAACGCAGCCGCCATAGCAAGTCGGACTTGATCATACCGACAAGGGGGGTGCGCACCAACAAGCACGACGGCATCGTTGGGAAGGACTTTCTGGCGAAGTCGAGGTTGGTGACGCAGGGCTTCAAGGACAAGTTTTCGGGCTTTTACCGCAGGGACGCCCCGACAGCTTCCGCAGGGGCCGAGAGTTTGTGTTTGGCGGTTTGCGCAAGCTTCAGGTTCACCTTGCTGGCAAAGGACATCAAGAACGCTTACTGCAGTGGCAAGAACGTTGGCAGAGAAATCTACTTGGACCAGCCCAGAGGTGGACTGCCTGGCTGGAAAAGGGCCAGTTGCTGAAAGCCAAGAAGGCTATATATGGTTTGCTGAGGCCGCCAAAATTGTTCTGGTTAGCACTCAGGGAACACCTTGAAAGTGATGGTTGGCAAGAGTCTCGCTTGGAGCCCTCCCTCTTCTACCTCAGGAAGGCCGGCAAGCTTCTGGGAATCTTGATCACCCACGTGGACGACTTGGAGGGTGGCGTGGTGCCTCACAGCTTTCCAGCGCTCAGCCAGAGGATTGGAAGTCGCCACCAACCACGCGCACGAGTTCACCTCCGACCACGACGAAGCGCCCCTTGGGCTCGTTTGTCCAACACCTTCTGCTTGGCGGCCGCTCGCTGCAACTCGTTCACTCTTCGCTCGCTCACTGTCCCTCGCTCGTCGCTGCCCTTGACCCCTCTGGCTCTCAAGTCTGGCGCTTCGCTTGTAGTTGACATTGCCTCCTCTGACAGCGCATGCGGTAGCGGGACCTGGGGCTTCTCCAGGAAATAGACGAGAATCTCCTCAGCCTCTGAGGTCACACGTGCCCCAGCCTCCGGTCTGTCAGCGGAACACTTCTCCTCTTGTCCAGGTTCCAGCGCCAGCGCCACACGTATAGCAAGGTGCTTCGTCCGGGTAACCAGCATAGGAATTTCCAGGCCCAGATCCTGCACGAGAACCTTCCTGGACTTCATGTGGAGTATCATGTCCAACCCGCAAACCTCAGCTGAGTGCACCTCGCCCGGCACAGAGCTAACAAAGATCGGTATGCGCCATACCACCAATTTGTCGGGGGCGCTCTGGCCATTGGCAAAATGAAAGGTTTTGCGAGTCGGGGTGCATCGGAAATCTTTTGGAAGAAGTCGGCTGCAGGCTTCCCTCCAGCGCCTGGAGCGGAGGCCAGGCTCTCCATCAGTGCCGTCTTGGAGCCGATGGTGTCCCTGGTCCAAAGTGGTACCAGACATAGCATGCTGTAAATTCTGAACTCGAGGCGGTGTCGGCTGATTGAATTCGTGCTCCTTGGGCTCTGCGTGCCCTGGATGCAACCGGCCTGCCAAAGGTGAAACTGCTTCCCTTTCCCGTCCCAGCTCAGCCGTCACGGCTGCTTGGCCTGCTGGGCCCGGACGTTCTCGCGGACCTCCAAGGCCTTGTCCATTTCCATTGTGAGGCGGCAGCCTTTGCCTGCAGCGAAATTCGAGCAGCCGAGGAAGAAGGCGGCGCCCTCGGGCACGATCTTGTTGACCTCCATGTCCTTAGGGACTTCCACGCCTGCGCGCGGGCAGATGGCAACCTCCGGCTCGCCCACCTCGGAGCTTCGAAAAGAACGGCTTGGCTCGCCTTCCTTCTTGGTGCTTGGGGTTGGCGCGCTTGTCCTGGGCGCCGCGCTGGCCGCCGCCGTCTTCGCCGGCAAGCTGTCGCCGCCGCCGAAGGGGGTTGCTTCAGACAGGTCTCGATCAGCTGAACGTAGTGCCGGGCGCAACCTTTCTTCTCCACTGGCTCGCCCTTGCACAGCTTCTTGAGTCGCTCCACAACCTCGGTTCTCTTGCCTGAGTGTCTGAATGCCCCAACAATCACAGTCGCACTGAAGCTGTCGCAAACGCAACTCATCCAACGAAGCCGGTCTGGCCTCAACAAAGGACGTCACCTTGATCTTCTCAACATTCTTGGTCGGGACCTTGATCAAGAACTGCTCGTCCTGGGGCTCCAGGAATGGGCTCCCCTCGGCTTCAGGCATCGGCGGCGCGAGGCGGTGGGACCAGTGTAGCCGCCAGCCGGGGCTCAGACAACGTCCCACTCGCTGCCATCACTACCACGGGCCTTCCTCCTCCAATCGAGTGGTTGCGCTTGCCGGGCCCTTTGTCACTCCTTGGCCTGCTGCCAATCAATCCTTGGGCCTGCTTGGGTCTTCTTCGACCACTGCAGGTCGCCAGCCCAGTGCCCAAGCCTGTTGCAAGCCGAGCATCGGGCGCGAGCTTTCTCCTTGTGGATGGCTTCCCGTCGGGCTTCGGCATTGCCGTCTTTGCTCAGCCGCGGTTTCTTTGGTTCTCCTTCAGCTTTTGCCGGCTCTCCTTGTAGGTGGCATAGGCATTGAAGATGTCATCGTCATTGGAGGCGCCGGCGTCAGACACGGACTACTCGTCGTTCTCCGAGTCAGCCTCCATGGCGAAGTCGTGGCCGCCATCGTCGCTCATGTCTCGTCCTGCTCGACGGTCTCCGCGTCACTCGACTCCACCTCGGCCATGTGGGCGTAGCTGCGGCGGCCACCGCCTTTTCCACGCCGTCGCGGAGGCCCTTGTCCGCCATTCTTTTGCCAAGTTCTTCTCGCGCTCATGGATGTCATAAAATGACACTCGAAGCGACTGCTCGATCCCCGACAAAAAGTAATTCGACTGGTTCGACAGCAGAATGGACCTCTTGTCGTCGCGGCTCAGGTTGCCGTTCTTGAGGACAAAGTAGGCAAGGAGGTCCTCGGACATCGAGATCCCCTGCGCCGAGTCGCGAAGCTCGTCCCAGCTTTGCTTCCTTTGCCTTCAGTAGGAACCGATGCTCTGCCCCTTCCTTCTGAAGCACTCATCGAAGAACTGGTCAAAGGCCTCGGACTTCCGAATGACGCCCGCCTTCTTGATCTGGCCGAGCGCCTTGAAGGTCTCCTTGTAGCCGTCAGGGGCCTTCAGCTTGTCGTTGTCCAACATCAAGTCCTGACAGGCTTTCCAGGCTTCGCCGCGCAAGGCGTCCAAGACCGCCTGCGCTTCTTCTCCAGGGAGCGGGCTTCTTTGGTCTCGTCGTCTCCACTGCCTTCCAGGGAGTTGTAAGCGAACAGGACCCGCTGCCGTTACTCTCGAACCAGCGCCGGCTGAGCCCCAGTAAAGTGGGGTACGCCGTCTCTGTCCACCACGATCTCATCATCTCTCCAGTAGGAGCTGAAGGCCCGGAGTGCGACGCAGCCATAGCGGATCAGGATCCGCTACCAGTGCAGAGTGCACTGGTAGCAAAGCTCGCTGTTTTACCGCCTAGAAGCAAAAGTGATGTGAATCAATGTGAAACGTGTTTCTAGCTGCATGCGCTAACAAGCGGACCTGAGCTGTGCCAAAAGCCGTAGAACATGTCCGGGGCTGAACTAGCTTGGGCCGGCTGCCGTAACAAAAGTTGCAAGGACCAAGCGTTCACACCAACTGCTTGACCTGAAATCCAGGAAAGGGATCAGCGGGGCTTCTTCTTTGCCAAGGCAACTATGCAGGATGATAAGCGAGTGATGCAATCCTTCGTACCACCTGTCGACAACCTCAGCCTCCAGCGAACTGGATGCCAGCCCAGCCAGCACCAGTGAGCGCCCTTTGGCGAACGCCACGTCCGCAGGATTACACACCATGACGCCCTGCAAGATAAAAGATGTATTCTTCAATGCCTGACAGGGCCCACGTGTCTGCGTGGGGGAGTCCCTGTCTGGCTCATGTCACTATGCACATGCTGTGCAACCCGACAAACCCAAGTCATGTTTGATTAAAGGTACCGTCGTGCCGAATAGCGTTCCTGGCAGAAGTCAATGGCCTAGACAGTACTGGCAATGACTTGAGGTAAACCGATGTAAACCGGACCATGCATGCATTTTCGAGCACGCTTCGCAGCAATGGCAGTACAATTTTACGGGATCCCACAATCCTCTCAACACATCGCTTGGGGAAAGCAACTCGCTCGAGGCCTCATGAGCTTGCACCCCCAGATGCTTACACGTTCTCATAAATTTGTAGACCGAGCTGCCCATTGTTCATTTGTACATCTGGATCAGTGGCATCACCAGATGTAACCTGCGCACGGAAGCCCCAATGACAGGCCTGACAGAACATACCCCATCCAAGGGTCAATGATTCTCGCAAGACAAAGTGCTTCCAAGAGACAACGCGAAGTACCTTGCTGGAAATTTTGTGTAAAACAGCTCCTTTGAAAGCGGACTGGCATCTCTTTCTAAAAACATGCGACATCCCACCTTGATCCACTCTGGCCGAAATTGGCTGCAGCGGCTCATGGCAGCATCGCGGTACTGAATCAAAAGGTCAACTCAAGCTGAAGGGAAGTGGCTTTGGTTCGCTCTTCAGGCCTCGTAGTACGGCGTTCTCTGTCCTGTCTTGTCCTTGATGCGATTTACACTATGTTGTAATGCACTAGGATCCCAGCGCTTAACAGACTCCTTTCTGTCAAGTATTCTCGCAGATGATTCGGAGGCTTCCATGGTAAAGAGGCGAACTCCAGAATCGGTGTCCTCGACCCACAGTCACAACGTCTGCTTGGTGGTCTAGCTTGCATGACACTTGAAACTGGTTGAGACGAGCGTCGTCTGCGTCCAGCCACAGATCATTCAACGGCACCGCATAGACCTGCAATACCATGCCAATATGCTCTGCAACAGATAAACATGCCAACTCAAGAATGGACAGAATGGGCCTCGCTCATTTTGCGCATGATGTCTAGGGCGTCACTGACTTCCAAGTTGCCCTTCAGCAGACCTCACGTCTGCGGGCAACAAGCGTAACTAGACGCGGCGCTGGATTACAGCTCTTCCAAGCGACATTCCAGCCTTTCCAAGCTCACGTTGAGTTCCTGCATCCCACATTGAGCTCTGTAGGAGCAAAAACATATGGCATTGTCGCTAGCATCTCTCTGAGATAGTTGGTGCTGGTGGCCAAATTGTGTCCAATTTCAGTTTGACTTGATATAACATGGTCCTTTGTTGCCAGCTTTCCCTTGACACATTAGCAAGGGCATAGGATACCGCATGAAGGAAATCTTCACTGCCCTTTGGACATGGGAATTTCCTGCTTCTGCTTTGGTTGAGAGAGGTGCTGGGTGAACATTGGGAACTTGGAAGGTTGGCTGAAAATTGCATGGGTTCGCAGCCTGACTGCTGGTCTTGAAAAACCAGACAGGCCTGATGTGAAACTTGCTTCGGCTTGGAACCAAAACTTGCTTGGTTACGGGTGGCAGGGCAGCGAGACGAGATTGCTGCCAATTCCTGATACATGCTGTGGTGCGAGTCCTTGGCAACGATGGGCAGCGGTCGTTTCAGATCATTGGCTTCACTCAGAAGGCAAGCACCCATAGCCTGACAGATTCGATCCGCGTGCTGCGGACAAAGCACCATCCGAGCAAAGCCCTGTAAGGAGCCTTCACTTGCGTCACCGTGTCCTCCTCTGAGAGGAACAAGGCGGTATCGTTCCATGCCCTGCACCAGCTCAGCCAGGCTCGACCAACGAAGCGATGCCAGCTACACTGTGACTGACTGTAACTCTGATCAACACACAGCCCAAACACAGCTGTTTCGTTCCCCAGCCTGGTTAGATCTGGCGGGGTGTTGACCTCGTGCCATCCGCCGAAGACCATTGCCAGGGAGATGTTGATGCCCTCAGTGCAAACGTGGGGAGACGCGGGGCGCAGGCACCCTGGCTGCATGATTTTTCCAAAAAAAAGCTGCACGGTCTTGTCTGCCAGATGATGCCCTAATATGATTCTTTGCCGCTATGTGCCTTGGGCACAGAGGGCCACTTCGCCAAAAATCAGTGCCAAATTGGGGGTCCGCTGCGTCACAAATCATCAACTTTCAGGCGAACTCACAGTTACCCAAGCTTGGGCTTGAGATGTCTGAAATGTCCTCACTCATCCTCGCTTGTGGCTCCAATGCTGAGAATCTTTTGCAGCTCCCAGGCCTGTCGCCTGTCGACTGATTATGCTAGACATTGTTGTGCGGTCAGAGCTTGCACATGCTGTGAATCATTCTCTCGGCGAAGCATGGATGTTAAGCCGCGAAGCGGCAGCGTGCATTTCTCCGGAAACTGGGTCTGGAAGTCCTTCATGTCCTGCACACGCCTCCTACGCAGATGGTGAGGACATACCGGCGTCGATAATGAAACCTCACAGCTGACGCCGAGGGTCACAACGTCGTCTCACGCAATCGTGATGGCGCATGACAACCGTATTCGTGTCCCCTGCAGCTTGGCTGTTGTAGGCTTCCATCGCGCAGCTGTGGTCAGTTCTGTGGCAAAGGGCTTGCATGATAGATCCTAGCTGCAGTTTCTAGCCAAAACGCTGGCAAAAACGCCCTTCACAGCCCGACAGTTGGCTGAAAGCACCCTCAGGGTTGGCCTCGTCAGCCATGAGCTGCAGAAGGTCACACAAGCTGGCCCTGGCACTTCTATGTTTTGCCAAAAGGGAAACTTCTGCAAGGTATTGGAGGCCTGCTGACCGGTTCTAGCCACCACGGAAGGTTCCATGCTTGACCCGTCTGGCCCGTACAGGACTCATCCTCCTGACATCAAGTGCAAAAAAGAATGTAATGCATGTGACTCACATGTTTGCTAGAGGCCGGCCTGAAAGAGGCGGCGCATCATGTCTTCCATGATCGCTCTCCCCGAACTGGAAAATTTTACCAGCCTGACAGTGCACAGTCAGCCAGCGAGGGGAACGAAAGTGACTGCTTTGATCAAGAGGTCTTGACCAAAAATTGAGCTGCAGCCAGTGTGCCCGGCGAACTCCCCTGAGGACTCCGACTCGCTGACACGCCGACCCTTGCCAATCCGGCGAATGGTGCGATCAGATCCACTGCCGCTCGCTGCAACAACTTCAACCTGTGACAAACCGTCGCATCACTCCAACTCGCTCAATGCAATTTTACAATTTTTCCCTTTTCGCCTCGCTGAAGCCCTTGCTCTCCTTGCCGGGTGCAGCGGCGTTGACCACCACGGTGACACCTCCGGCTGTTTCGAGAAGCTGCCGCGCCACCTAGCATGCAAACGTGAGACAGACCCAAAATATGGTGACCTGTGCAACTGTGGACGTCACGCTGTGACGGAAGATGATGTCACCATAACCTCGGTTGAGAGGAAATCCGAGGCAAGCATACACGCTTAAATCCTGGATGCTCCCGGCCCCTTTGCCATTGCATGCAGTGCTTCCGGAAAGGTTCCTCTATAGCGGCCAAGCAGCATACTAACAAGGGCCCAGGCTGGACATGGGGCAGTGCCACTCGCAAGCTCTCCAGCATGCCCGTTGCTGCAAAATCTGGGCAGTCAATCCTAAGCACATGCCGCTGCACTCAAACAGACTTTCAGTTCCTCTGAAGTTGTTCAGGCAGGCATCAACTGAACTCCGCCACCAAGCAGATCCAAATGATCATCCAAAGCGTCTCCTATGAGAGTGCTTCTGTCGCAGGACGTCAGGCGGTTATGACCTCTGCAACGCCTTTAACAGCTGGGCTGGCCTTTCCATCCACGACAAACGTAGAAGGATTGTACCCCTTGTCGGCGCAGCGTTGAGATGGTGTGAGCCAGCAAGGATTTTCCACCGATGGTGATCAACGCCTGCAGCGGATGAGCATGGGCAGGGAGCAGTTGACGCGCCGAGCACAGCATGTGCTTCGCTACGTGCTTAACTTCGCACCGTGGGGAGTGCATCGGTGTAGGGCACTAGGCGCGAGCCACGACCAGCAGCAAGAATCACCGCTTGCTTTGGCCGCTCGGGCTCGGGTTCCTTGCTGAATGCCGAATGACAAAATGCATCCTCTCTTGTTCGTCGCTTTAACGGAACGGACCTTGTAGCCATTCCGCAGCATCCGGCTTGGGCAGCGGGATGTGTCGTTGCAAGGTGTGGTGTTACACTTGTGAAACATGCTGTTGCGTACTCGGCTGCGGTTGCATGCTTCTGCATGTCTACTCTTTTGGCAGAGCCTGGCTGCGACGAGGGCGCTTTCATTAGACAGCCCAAACAATCATCAAATGCTGAAACAAGCTTGCAGCAGCACGTTCGTGAAGCAGGTACCAGCGCCAGTGGCTTCCGGCGAGCCCTCCTTGTCGGTCTGCATGTAAGAGCCGTACGCAGGATTCATCCTGGCAGCACAGACCCAGAGTCTTCGAGCCATGCAGCTCAGCTATTGAAGAGACAACTGAAATCTCGCAGGCAACGCTGCAGAACTTGACGGAGTAACACGGCCCCTGGGTCGGGATCCTGACACCAGCGCTTGATGAACAAGAAAGAATCCGAATCCTGGATGCTTGTAAGCGCAAAAGCGAACCCCCCCTCACGCCAGACACCTTCACCGTGTTCATCATCCATCTCTCCAGATCGGCCTTGCCTGGCCATGGCCTAAGGCGCAAGGCAAGCTCCGCAAGCTTCTCTGTGTTCTTTTTTTCTTTTTAAGCATTCTTTCTCCCTTCCTTTCTTATCTCTGAGGCTGCAGCTCCGAATCGGAAGTCATGACTCATTTGCCATGAGCCCCGCCCCTTTTCATCCCAGACGAAACGCTGCAGGACTCTGAAGCTTCACAACTTTGCAAGGTTTTTGCTGTTGCTCCTGTCCCAACTGACAAAGCAAGAGGGTGGCGCAGTGGTACACATCATACTGCCCAGACTCGAAGCCAAATATATATAGAACTTGTGTAGATGTAACGCCCAGTAGCTGATGAGTCTTTTAAACTTCCTACTTACGCTCCGATGGCGGCGAGCAGCTGATCGGTTTTGGCGGGTTGCATGCTGTCTGCTGGCCTTCTGACTTTCCCACCTCACCACCAAACTTTCAAGGTCAATCTTCGCTCGCTCCCAAGCGCTGAGGAAGAAAGCATGTCTCATCCACGATGTTGGAATGTGGAAATACGACCAGCATTTCTTTCCAGACGATGCCAGCGGCTCATCACCCAACGTGGGAGGTTTGGATATTGCTCACTGTTCCTGAGCATCACATTGCACTAGGAACGCCTTTAAAACTTTGAGTGAGATGAAAACATATCCTGCAAGCTTTAAGACAGCTCGGAAGCCGAGAATACAAAGAAGATTCATGGCGAGCCCCAGAATTCCGAACCAAATACTTCACGGGGATGCCTCAAGTTCAGCTTCATTCATCGTCGTACTACCTTGTTAAGCAGAGCATCAGGTCTCATCGGGTCTCATCCTAGAGGCAAACAAATCTGATCGCCCCTCGCATCTTTCGAGCTTGCATTTTTCCGCACCGCACTCACCATCCAATAGTAAAAGCTCGGATACAACAAACCAACAACGCTGACACAAAGGCTATGATGCCAAACACCAAACAATCAGGCTTCTCTTGCAAAGTCAAGGTAAAGGCATAGAAACGGCTTGCTGCCGTGGTGAGGATGCGGATGATGCGACTTACGAGAAGAAGCTAAAGCATGGTGAAGACAAGGATATTCCATGCTCACATCACTTCGCATCGCTCATGACAATCATGGAGGGTCATGAAGGGTGGCTTCAGACTTTCGACCATTGGATCTTAAATAGAATAATATGCCTCTTGATGCCGAAGACCATCCTGCATTGCTACACTTGTGTCCAGTCTCTGCAAAGTGGTGCAGGGACTGACCCTGCAATATGAATCAGATCTTCTGTCTGTGTCTGGCCCTGGGTTTTATGCTCCTGCCAGCAGATGTTGCAGGAAGCACGCTCGGGGAACACCGGGTAACACACGAATTGGACGAGTCACCACACACATCTCCAAGCGGAGGGCGCTTATGACGCGGCTGATTTCTGAAACCTCTACAACATGTTGCCACTCTGATTGCCCCCTCACACTCTGCAGCAGTGTTCCAGCTTCTCATCGCATCAACGAACAATGATTTTCACAGGCAACGTATAAGTTAAGCAATATCTACTGCCAAGAGAACCAAAAAGGCTGGAAGTCTGCAAATGTCAGCACCTCTAACGCCCCTTTGGGGCCACCATCAGCACCAGTCCCCCCACATCTCAATCAAACTCAGACGTTGAGGAACGGGAGCCAATTTCGGCACAACGCGTGGTATTGAAAATTCCTCAAAGCAATGCAAGGACTAACCTGTTGAAACGCGCGTCAGCAAGCGCCAGCTGTGCTATCTACAATGCAGTCACCCAGAGTAGCTGTTCAGAGGACAAAAGTCGAGAGATGCTCTTTGTCAAGACCTCAGCTCCGTCCACCGTCCACAAGCAAGGGCAAAATCAATGCCATGTACTCGTACTCACTTTGGCCATTCATGAGCTGCCGACACCAGCCACAAAAAGTGTGACCATGCCGACGGAGTCTGCTGAAGGGTCGCCTTCGGCCTCGGCTCTCAGGCTCTTTGCATTTTCCTCGCTATACAGGACCAACACCCTCAAAGCTTTTTGAGGCTTTTCAAATCTAGCAAAGTTACCGAACGAAATCTCTCTTAAGAACAAGCTATGCTCTGTTATGCCATTTTTAGAAGCACACTTGATATTTTCGTGTATGCTTGCGAGTGGCACCATGCCTCCTCTGAATTACCAAGCAAGCAAGATTTTTTTAATGGACTTCGCGCTTCCCTCACCCTCCCCTCCCCTTCGCTGGGTTGTCCTGAGTATTCCCCGACCTGCACTGCACGGAGGAATTTTGGAGCCCTAATGCGCTGCTTGCACTGCCGCCTGCGCAGGCGCCTAGTGTGCTGGCGCGTATTGTGCGGCTGCCGCTACTGCTTGCCGCCTGCTGCCTGCCTGTGCCCGCAGTCTGCCGCCCGCCTGCGCTTGCACCGGCGCCTGCACCTGCTACTGCTCTTGCTTTGTCGCTACTGCTCCTGCTTGCTCCTGCTTCTGCTCGTGCTCCTATAATTCCTAGTATTAATAATATGGCCCTTCGTTTTACTGCTACTACTGCTACTGCTATTCCATTCGAGCACAGCCGGTCGACTCAGCTAGTGAACAACTAAGTGGCAGCGGCTTAGCGCTGGCGCAACTAGTGCGCGAGAACCACATTGGGAGTCAATGCTACGAATAGCCCGGAATGACTCCATCAACTATCATACCTCCGTCAAAAACCAGTGATCAACTATGTACCACTGTACAACGCTCCGTACAAGAGGCCTCAGAAGGCACACTAACTCAGATTGCAGGCTGCAGTGGCCAGGGATGGCACGTGTCAAGTGCGTTAGCCTTACTAACTAGCCCACCACCAACCCCAGGATCTCCTCCCAAGGTTTCTCGGTGGAAACTTGTTTCGCTAGCACACGCTAGCTAGGAAAGAAACTCAGGCACAGTTCACTTGCGTTAGCACTTTAGCTTGCTACAAAACACTTATCGTGTTCTAAACACACCGGCAAAGCCCTAGCTAAAGACGCTCCGTTCTTTTTAGCTTGGTGGCGAAAGTCCGCTCACTGCTACCACGGAGTGAAGCCTCTAGCGACCCGCTAGCCATCAACTCCTTGTAGCCCGAGAGAAGTCTCTAGCTTTCAGCTTGCCATCTCCCACGCGTAGCCACAGAGGGCTACCAGGGCTTTAGCTTGCGGAGCTTCTCGGACTTTCTGACCTTCAAGGGTCCAGCTTTGCCCTGTCGCTTGAAATGTAGCAGTTCTTGATAAAAGCCGTTGGCGTGCTCCAAAAGTTTATCTAGCACTCGCCACTGGATATCCTCGCCCTTCAAGGGGACCCTGAAATCAGGGCTGAACTCCTTGAAATTCTCATTCGTGAGGTCATCTGCTAGCTGGTTAGCATCTCTCCTGATCCACGTCAGGCCTAGCTCGCAAAGACTTGCAGGCTAGCTCTTCCGCCAACTCTAGCAGGACTAGCGTTGACGGAAATTTAGTAGTCATCGCTTTCTTAACAAGGGCTTCTCATGATTGTCCAGCACGCTCACCCCTAAGCGAGGCAAACGCACGTCAAGTTTGTCGCAGAGTCAGGTAAGGGAGCAATCAAAACTTCACACAGCTGTACCTGTATGGATTGAAGCTCCAACGCTATACAATGGTGAGGGGAATCTTGGAAGCTAGAAAGTCCAACAGGACAAGCCCCCACTCTGGTGACAAGTGAGTACCGACTCAAAACTCCAGAGGAGACACTGAAACAGCCAGTCATGCCTAAAAACAACAACTGGTCTTCGTGAAAGTGAAGCTCCAGCAGCTTCAAACACTATTAACAACTAGGGGAAGTACTCCACCCTAGAAACAAGTTAAACACACCAAGAGGGATCAAACCTCAGTCCCTTCAATAAATAACACTCTGTACACTCCAGCGGACTACTCAAGAGAAGACGTAGAACGGACTCAGTAGTCGTGCC